ACTCTGTCTCCTAGACTCTGTGCTTAATGCCAGGAATTCAATGCCTGAACTATCCTCATGGAACTTATGGTCTCAGGCATAAGACAGAAAGAAATGAGATGTCCACACCAGTGAAAGTACTGAAATTCTGAAATAGATGCTCTAAAGAGAGATGCGGGAGTGATACAATGGGAACCTTGAATTCACTGTGGGAAGACCTCAAAGGAGTTCACGCTTGAGTTACAAATCTGAAGAATGAGTAAAAGCCGTTTGGAGGAGGAAAGAGCAAAGGCCCAGTGGTAGGAAAACTGCAGCATGCTTGACTAGGAAATCTCAGAGAGATGTGGGAGCAAAGCAACCAAGGGGCAGCATGAAGTGAGAGGAGGTCACTGTGTACAGCAGTCAAACCTTGAGGGGTGGGACCAGGATTTATTTATGGTAGTCAGCAATCCCACTTTGAAGAAGTAGAAATTGATGCTCAGTGAAGCAAAGATAACCCTTGTTAGTGGGCTACAATAATCAAAGGAGGAGCTGTAATTCAAGACCAAAACAGTCTCTTCTATCACAGAAAAAATAAAAAAGCATTTCCTTTCTGGGGTAGATGCTACCTCCAGCAGCCAGTGATATGTACAGAGTCAAACACTGGCCTGGAGTGGACCATTAGACAGGGCTAGAAAAGACTGCATGGAAGAAATGAGAGTAAAGATTACTGAGCAGAGACCCCAGGTACTTCCTTTCCATCTCAGTAGGATCAGTTTTGTCACATAACTCCAGGCAATCAACTTCCCCTTTCCCACCTCAGTTTCCCCATCTCTGAAACATTGGACTACACCATCTCTGAAGTCCCTTCCCACAACAGGAGTCTTAGGTGTGTTTTCTGGCTGAGTAATGAAGGGGAAAGTAAGTAGACTCCAAACCAGTCTTTATCTCAAGAACTACAATTTTCCAAACAAGAAAATCAAGGGGAAATTGCAAAGATGATGAGGGATGGACCTTTTTTAGGAACAACAACCTAATCACAAGTCACTGCTGGAGACAAGATATCACAAAAACCTTGATTTGCAGCTTTGGGGAGTGGCATGCCATGGGATACAGGCAATTAACGACACAGAAGCTTCACAGAGGCAGAGATGACTCATGGAAGGCAGTGTTGATAGGCTAGAAAGGAAGCCAAGCAGCATGTGACCAACATTCTAGTCTGATTCATGAATCCTTGCAGAGCTGCCCCACAAAACTTCACACTCTGCCTCTCTCTGGACAGCTCTAGTGATGGAGAACTCTGTAGCTTTTCCCCTTTGGTACAGTGCCCAGCATCCTATGTGGTACCCATCAATAGCTCAACTCCATTTTTTTGAGTGAATGAATAAACAAATGAACAGAGAGCTTGGGTGCTTCCCAAACAGCTACCTGGTATGTTCACCAGAAGGTTCAAGTGATACTATAAGGAGCACGCTTGGTCGTATGACTGTCTTTTTTTTTTTTAACTGATTTTGGAGGTGCCTTTAGGAACTGCTCTATATTAGCTTGTCACTGTGATAAAATACCTGGGAAATTCATCTTAAAGGGAGGAAAGGTTTAGCGTGGCTCATGATTTCAAAGGTTCCAGTCCATGGTCGTCTAGTTCCATTCTTTCTGGGCCTGTGGTGAGGCCAAACGACATGGTACAGCATAGCTGCTCACTTCATGGTGGGCAGGGGAGGTGGAGGTAAGGACAAGATATCCCTCTTGGGCTCACCTCCAGTGAGCCTCCTCCTAGGAGGTCTCATCTCCTATAGTTACTACTCGTCAATTATGAATCCATCAAAAGATTCACTCACTGATGAAATCAGAGCCCTTATGTTCAAATCACCCCTCAAAATCCCCACCTCTGAAATTGTTGCTGCATTAGGGAGCAGACCTATGAGACTTTGGGGAAAACACTTTAGGTCTAAACCAAAACATCTCTCATTTAGGTGTGGGGAGCTAAGGGAAGTGAAGGAAGCTAATAGAAAGCATGTTCAATCAGCAGGTGATCACTGTGAGTGATCATTTAGTCCCCCTGAGACTCTTCTAGAAGATGACAGAGAACTGTGCTGGCCGATACAAAAGCCACCAGTCACATGTGACTACCAAGTACTTGAAATGTGGCTCATCTGAATGAAGATATAGAATAAGTGCAAAATACTCACCAGATTCTGAAGGTTTGCTATAAAAATATGTAAGATATCTCATTAATTATCTCCATACTATGTATTGAAATGATAACATGTTTACATATTAGGTTAAAATATAGTATCTAAATTAATTCTACATTTTTTTTGTTTTAATTTTAAAGTGCCCATGTGGCTCACATTCATGGCTCCCATTATATTTCTATTGTTCAATGCTGATATAAAACAGATCTCGGGGTTTAACTTAGCCAAGAGGTGAGGAAGCTGGAATTATTAATTCCACCCACCTTGATTTGAATGCTGCTCCCAAGGAGGTTAAACACTCTCACCTTTTAGTCTGTCCCATGCACTCTGGAGCTTCTGCAGCTAGAGAAACCTGCAGGCAGAATTACAGGAACTTGCTACATGGAATCATCAGCATGTTCGGGAATCTTGAGTGTAGGGGATGTGGACAGAGCACCAATAGCCCTGCTGCACCGTTCTTCAGAAATCTGACAGTCATATTTGTGTCCTACTCTATGTCCTGACTTCTTAACTTCCAAATTGAACAGCCAATGCCTGTCTGCATGTCCTTCTCATAAAACTTGCTTCCTGTCTCCTCTGCTTCTGGATTCTTTTTCTAAATACATACCAGTTGGTCTTTGTCCTTTTCCTAGGATGATGACTGAGATTGTCTCTCACTTATTGTCCTTGTAGCCTTCCTGCATTAAGGGTGTCTTTGAGATTCTGGTAACTTCATGGAACTTCTTCCCTGGAAGAAAAAAAAATTAACATCCATGTACACCTTATTGCATTGCACTTTGAAAGAGTTTGCAGCCCATTGTCTATAAATAGATCTCAACAAATGGCTGTGGACCCCAGGCTGACAACTTCTGTTCAACTCTTTTCCTACAAATCTTCCTTTCTGGATCCTTTCCGTTTTCTCACTAGAAGAGGAAAGTCATTCCTAAAGCTGTTAAGTAGAGGCAGGTTCTCCCTAAGGATGTGCTGGTGGCTGATGAGTGGTTACTGAGTGCTTGAGATTTCTCCTACTCTAATCGTTATGGATTCTCTGGCTCCTAGTAAGCAGTCAGTGTCATAAGGATGAGAATGAGCCTTGCGGACAACAAGGATATCAAGGCCGAGAGTCCCCTGTCCACAAGGCACAGAATGTTAAGGCCTGAAGAAGCCAAGGACAGCAATCTATCTTGTGCATGCCAGCAAATTAGAGGTTACATGTCACCTTGTCTCACCTTTGAAACAACTCAGTGAGGTCTACAGGACTGTGGTCCTGATGGCACAGATGGAGAAGGGAAAGCTCAACATAGAGAAGTGCTTACTCACAAGCACATAGCTAGCAAGAGAAGAAGCCAGAGCTTGAAGCAGTAACCTCTGGCTCTCAGCTCTGTTTCCCCATGTCTATATCAAGGTGGCTCTCACGAAGAGTACTGCAAGCTGCCCATCCAAGTCAGTTCTCCCCTGACTCCATAGTAGTTGTGACTAGGATGTGGCTGACCTGCCAAGGACTGAAGCAGCTTGCCTAGAGGCGGAGGATGCTCACGTGCTTAGGCTCCAGTGACAGGGTATGGGTAGACATGGCATGTGCCATTTCTTACTTATTTACAAAGAAATTCATGGTGTTAATGGACCTTGATTTGCACATTTTCCCCTCTTTTACTGAATGGACAGAATGACGAAAGCCACGTGAAGATGACAGTTACCATCAACCTGGGCTCCTGAGTAATCACGTGGAACACAACCAACTGCTGACCTAGAATATCTGACTGTTGTGTGGGAGACAAAGAACTTGTTTGTTCTGTAAACCATGTTATTTAGGGGTCTTTTGTTACAGCAGCTGCACCTTTCATCCTAATAGGGAACACCAAGCCAAATTTCCTTATTATATGGAGGCCCGCTCTGTATCAAACTCCCTCCTGCTCATTTATTCATTCATTCAATCTTTTACAAAAGAAGCCTCTGAACCATGGACTCTTGCCAAGCCAGGACAGCCAGCAGAGGTCTCAATTCATTAGTTGCCTCAAGGGGAGAAGAAGATTTTTTAGTTTGGTAGTAGAGCTCATGAGATGCTGGGTCTGGTGCCCTGGAACAAAGTAAGGAGCAAAAACCACCCTCAGAGGTAAAGCTAGGCTTGACTCTCCGGACCAACAGGAACCTGGTCTGAGTAACTCTAAAGGTTTAATTAAATGAAACTGGGAGTGACAGCTGTACTCTACAGAGGACCTAAAATGACAGTGTCAGACAAGGCTGGTTTTCCTTCCTCCCATTCACCTGGCTGGTAAGGGAGGGATTCCTACTGTACGGTTATGGGGTGGTCAAACACACAACATCTTCTCCTGAACAACAGTTTATTGACCATAATATATACTCATTCACAACCAGGGCAGAGAGGACACAGCACATCACATAGGATCACATGGGCCTTGTACTTGGGAACCCAGTGAACACCTAGGGATGTGGGCCTTGCAATAACAAGAAGGTGAGGTGACCTCTGGTTCCCATAGGCAAATATAATTGGCTTGTCTGGATAATTCCACAAACTAGCAGAGAAATGAAACCTCAGAGATAAGCAGAAACTGTACATGTTCCCCTTGATAGGGTGCATTTTTTATTTAGGGAGCTTTTTCTATGGGAGCAGAAGATACATTAGGCCATGTAAGGGCCTCTCCAGTTCATCAAATGTCAAAATAGCATATAATACTGGCCCTTAAATCTAGGCCTTATACCACAGAACACTCCCCAGGGTTTACACCAGCAGCCAAAAGATTCATCTGTCCATCAACATCAGTTCAGGAGAGACCTCAACATGCATAAGATCTCTGCCCAGAGATTTCAGAATCTCAGAACCTGGGTCATTACAATTCACTGCTGGCCAAAGTAGACTCAGACAGTCGCTTGACTTGACCTAAGAAAGGAAAGTGATGGGGACACTCAGTTACCTGCACATTCCTGACCCTCCCTGCTTCCAACTGCTTCCAGTAAATCATTCTGCCTTACCTCAGTCAAAAATCCCCACCCCCAGCTCTTTGAGTTTCTCACTTTCCCTTACATCCCTACATTTGACACAGATATGAATTAATACATCTGCCCTTTGCTCTGGTGAGAAAACAGGCTCTGTAACCAAGACGACTGATTTGGGCCTACAGTGCTGAGCACAGAAGGAAGCTCACTGTCATGAATGAGGGCCCATCCTGGGACTCTCCTTCTAGACTCCTGCCTCCTGTCCTCCTGTCTTCTTTGCTCCCAGTAACCCAACTCAGCCAATCAGAGGGTTGTGTTAGCTTTCTGCACTGGCCTTTAGCAAAGTCTATAATCAGTTTCTGGCTTGAGATGCCATCTGGGATAAACAAGCAGAAAGGATGAACTTTGTTCTGCTTTTAACATAGCTCCGGCGTCCAGCCAACAGTGAGCTTCAAAACTGTGCATCTGGCAGAAATGGTCGCCATGAAGCCACAGGAGACCTTAAGTGGCCATGCCACTGCATGGGAAATTCAAGTCACCAGTGTTCCAAGACCCACCTAGGCTACCACACTGCAGCTGAAGCTGGGGGTAGGGGGGTCAAATCATCCCCCAGATCCCTAGGCCACTGTTTAAGGCTGATGGAGAATGATGTCTGAAGATCATCACCTCTTTTCTGGACTCTGAGCAACTAAAAACATGCCTAGAGGAGGGCCACACCTGAGTGCTTTTGAGTGTCCCTTCAGTAGCCTTATTAGATCCACTATTCGTCTATGAGAAACTAGAGTAACACTTTGGGCACCCTGGAACATTAACTACCTAATCCAGAGGGAGCTGACCCCATATAAGGGTGTAAAGGCTAGCACAGACTGGGTAGCTTCAATGATAAAAATGTATTCCCTCCCAATTCTGGAACTGACAGGGTCAGATTTCTCCTGAGCCCTTACTTCTTGGTTTACAGATGGCCATCTTTTCCCTGTTTCTCCACCGAGTCTTCTTTTCCTCAGTTACAAACATGCCTAGCTCCTAACCCCCTCTTCTGATCAGGACACCACTCATACTGGATTAGAGCCCACCCATATGACTTAGCTTGCCTTCGTTACCTCTTTAAAGGCCTTACCTCAAAACACAGTTGTATTCTGAGGCCCTGGAGAGTTAGAACTTCAACATGTGAATGGGAAGGCCATACTCCATTCACCTTCAAGGAGAGACACAAGCTCTAGATCTAGGACAGGATTTTCCTGGGAGATGGACAAGCTTCTCATGGAGTAAAGGATCAGAAGACAGACTTCTGTGTGAGATGCCTAAAGAAGGAAGGAGATGTGTCTCAACTGCAGGAAGATAAAAATATCCTAAGCATTGACATATTAAAATAAAAATAAGCATCTATGACAAGCAGCATGCTCCTGTCACTCTGAGTATTTCAGCCGAGCTGGAAGGTCATCGGGGTGTTTAGAGGAGAAATTTTCATGTACTAAATCAAAGGGTTGGGCTAAATAATTTATCTGAGTCTGCTCTGGTGATCCCTTAGTCCTCTATAATGCTTACCAAGCCAACTCTTTCTTAACTAAACGAATTGTAGGGAGAGTGGCTAGTAACATCAAAGTTACTAGTATTCATCAACAGATTTCATAAACACACACACAGAACACCAGAAGCAGAGCTTATCTAAAACACATGAAGGAATTTCTGAACCATGTCAAGAAACTAAGTGGATAGTCAGGATTTACTAGAAACACAGATACAACACGAGATATACAAGTATATATATGAATTTACAAGATTGGCTTGCAATGACCACCCACAGAGTCAGATGAGGAAGAGTGCAGAGGATCTGTCTGCACACTGGAGACCAGAGGACTTAGTTGATGGTCTGGAGCTCCCTGCAGTGTCCCATGCAAGTTCATAAAAAGAGGCCAATGGGTCTGCAATGGGAGGTGGAAGACTATGAAGTAAGGCTTAAGGATCCATGCCAGAAGCAGCAGAGTCTGCACTGGAAGCCAGGAGATGACAGCCAAAGTGAAGGCAAAGACCGGAAGCCCTCAGAAGGAACAGAAGCAAATATGTCCTTCCCCATTTCCTCTTTATACCATCCAGACCACAAGCTGCCCTAGGGTGGCTCTTCCACATGCTAGGGTCTGGAATTGCTGAGCCAATTAGCTAAGCTTCTCTTAACTAAACTTCTCAAGTTGACACAATCCATCAACCTCACATCAAGCCTCTGGGAAGAGAAAAAGTCTGGGATCTGTACTCTGGCTCCACAAATCCTCATTTGGTGGCTGCTCACAGGGTAGCCAAAGCCAACCCTTCAAGCAGCAGTAAAGATAGCTCTAGAGCCATAGTTCCTGGTGAGTCAGGCAATGGGTGACAATGACCAGTAGGGCAGGCCAGGCTTAGAGTGGCTCAAGATTTGAGACATCAGGGCCAGGGATCTAGCTCAGTGGTGCCGCTGCCTGCCTCTCAAGCACAAGGTCCCAAGTTTGATCCCCTGTACAAAAAAAAACAAAGATTTAAGACATCTCTGGGGTCCAGTTTGTCCTCATCAATCATGGCCCCCAGAAACTCTACCACCACCCCAAATAGCACCATCTGAGCTTTCCCAGACCTTGCTGATTCCAGGTTCAGCTTTATAGAAAGTCCCATGGGATCCCACTTAGAAACACTGCGCTGTTGTGATCTTGAAGGGCGAAGTAATTTTTAATGTATTATATAATGTTTGGGGGTAAAACCCACATAACAAAATTGACCATTTTAAAATGAATCAATCCATACATCTGCATTTGTTTTTGTGTCTTCCAATCTGTTCCACTGATCCTCAGATCTGTTTCTTTGCCAGTATATATGTGCACCAATGTTTATAGCAGCACAGTTTGCAATAGCTAAAACTTGGAAACAGCCCATTTGCCCATCAGTTGGAAACTGGACAAAGAAGATGTGGTTTTTCTATAAAATGGAATAGTATGTAGCCATAAAGAATGATAAATTAGATTCATTCATAGGAAAATGGATATATATTGAGGATATACTCCTAAGTGAAATACATAAGTCACACATGTGTAAATACTGAATAGTTTCTCTGGTGTGAAAAACTATAATAGTACATAAGATCCTAATGATATAATTGACCATGTCAAATAGGAAAAAAAGGGCTAAGGGAGTAGGGAAAATGGGAAGGGTAGGGGAAAGGTAATAAGAGAAAAGGAAAAAATATGAGAAAATGAAAAATGGAAATAAAGTGTTTCTAAATGGGGAGGGGAGGAGGGGGTGAAGGGACGGCAGGGGCAAGGGGAAAAAAATGAGAACCAAGGCCTGTCATGTAAAGGTACAAGATCCCAATAATGAACGTAATTGTACTGTATACCTAAAATGTAACAATAAACTCAATTTTAAAAAATGAATCAATCAGTGGCATGCAATATACATTGTGTCTCAACATTGTGTAACTGCCACCTCTATCTATGTCCAAAACATTTTCTTCACCCTAGAAGGAAACTCTATATCCATTAAATAGTTATTCTCCAGGTCCGGGCTCCCTGCCTTCCAGCAACCACTAATCTGCTTTCTGTTTCTACTGTTTTACCTATTCTGGATCTTTCAAATGAATGGAATCACAGAATATGTGACTGTGTCCAGTTTCTTTCACTTAGCATGTTTTTGAGCTTTACACAGTGCAGCATACATCAGTACTTTATCCTTTTATGCTGCTGAATAATATTCCTTTGTGCTTAATTTTTGAACAAGACACCCACTTTTTTATTTTGTACTAGGCTCTGAAATGATGAGGCTGACCATACAAGCCTCTGACAGATATGTGGAAGCTGGCTATACTTGACTGGATCATAACCTCCCTGCCTCTTCTCTCTCCATGTACCCTGCAATATGCCGCCAAAATGATCTTCTTCCTGTAAAACCTGCCTGTGCATCTCCCTGCTTCCATGACTGGTATTCATCACCCTCCACTCCACCATGTCTCAGCCTCCAAGTACGGAGTGCAGCGCTCTGCAGAGGCCAGGCTATGGCAAACCCCTCTCAGCCCTCTGCTTCACCTACTTCCTGAGGCAATCTGATTCAAATATTATAACTCTATGAGCCTAAGGTTCTCATTCTCCAAAATGACGTGAATGGTGGAAGGGCATGGGCTGGGCAGTGACAAAGATTCTATTTGCTTCAAGGCTGATGTTCAGGAAGATAGACTGAGAAACTGATGGGTCAATTTAAGCTTCCACCCTGACACTTTTGGGACTATAGACCTTACTTACAAGGGAACTTATGTACCCAGTGAGATATAAATAAGTATATTGAAGTATTCCTGCTCCAGTCCAGACTAATAGCCAAGAAATTGTCAGAAACTGGAAAGGGCCTAAAATAAATATGGCTGGAGTCATGCTTGCTCTCACTAAGGACCCGGGTCAAGGTGGTCGGAATGAACACTGGACCACTGAGTGGCAGCTTCTGGACAGAACTAGCAGGCAGGTTTTCATTCGGATCATTGAGTTTTCTACTTTTTCACATCAGTCATCAGGTGATCATTCCTCAGCATCTCTTGAGTCCTCTTCCTTCCAAGAGTCAGGAGACTGTGGGGTTGGGAGGAAACCCAGACAGCTTGGGGTCCAAAGCTCATCCCCCTAGATTCTCCTCTCCATATCTGATGCTCTTGCATCAGAGGCCTCTGACAGCAGAACCTCAACTGTGAATAAATGCATCATAGCTCAGTCTTTGTGACTGGGCCCACACTTGTAGGCTGGGAACCCCAATGTCAAAACCAACACCTGCCTTCCATCTTCCGCTCCTCTCTCAGGGTCCTGATTCCTACTAAGGTCTGGCTCCAGCAGGGTGGCCTCTTCTAGCTCCAGTCTCTGCTCTCTTCCCTGCCCACCAAGCTTCAAATGCGCTCATCTCCCCATCTAGACAAAAGCCCCTAACTTGGTCTGCCTGTCCCCCACCTTTCTCATCTCTCTACTAGCACACACACACACACACACACACACACACACACACACACACACACCTGCACTTCATCTGATGTCCTGCCTTCCAACCCTAGAAGCCTCAGTTTCACCATCTACAAAGTGAGGGGTTTGATCCACCTAACCCCTAAGGTTCTTCCCCTCTGCATTTAAATGTAAAAGGCAGCAAGAGCACTCGTGCGCACACGCGTGCGCACACACACAGACACACACCAGTTAGGCTTTGTCCTGAGTAACTAAGGGCTCTCCATGGAAAGCTAAGGAACAGGCCATGAGGATCCCAGTGAAAGCAGCAGGTACATTTTCTCTCACACCTTTTTACCCTGCTGCTTTCACCATCTTATGAACAGAAGTAGCCTGATCTGATTCCCTAAAGAATAAATAGGAAGCTGAGAGTCAAATTAGTGTGCACTTTCAGAAAACCAGAGACAAGCAAAGAAAAGAACAAAACAGAACTTTGAGACATCAGACCCACAGTTTAACCAATGAGTTAGCTGCTTGTGGCCAGGATGCAGAGGTGGCCAAAGAGACTGGGGAAGTTAAAGCAGGAAGAAAGCTTTGCTCAGAGTCTGGGCTCCCTCACTGGGTCCCTGCTCATAAGTGCTATGAATTATGTATTCTTTGGGACAACAGTGACACCAGTCAGCTCAGACACATTTGGCTTATCAGATAGGACTAAGACTTGCCTACCAGGAGGCAGACTGTTCCTCAAATATAAAGTACAATTTTTTTTATTTGGGGGGATGTGGTAAGCTTATTCTTTTCTCTTTCTTGATCTTCTCATCACTCCTACTTTATGTTGTGGCTGAGAAGTTACTAATTCAAGCACTCTCATGAGTGCTGATATATGTCTAGCCCTCTGGGGAGGAAGAGGATAGAGAAGTGGCTCTCTGTGGACTGGGATCCCAGGTGTCACCTCTGGGTGGTGGGAGCAATGATGGGCAATGAAGAAGTTAACTTCCCCTTTTGTACTTCTGTCGGCTTTTAACTATTTAATTCTTCTTCGATCAACATGTGCTGCAGTTGGCTTAGGATTTTGTTTTGTTCCATGTTGTTAACGTGCACAGAAATGGCAAGACGTGTTATTCCCCAGGCTATTCAAGGAAACAAATCAACCCCGGAAGACCAAATCACCTTGTTGGCCATCTCCAGTATGTTAAACTATCCTCTGTAACAGGTGTCAACTAACTATGGCTCACAAGCCAAACACAGCCTGTAATTTGTTTTTGTAATGTACAGATGAACAAAGGCTTTTACCTTTTGAATTAAATGTTTTTAAATCAGAAAAGAAGCCTATTTTTTGACGTGTGAAAATTACATGAAATTC